GATGGAGCTGGCACCTGGATGCTGCAGGCTGGGGGCAGGAACAGCCTGACCTCTCCATCCTCACCTTCAGCTCCTCCAGCCTAGATAAATAGATAAGTACATAAGTGTTTGTATGTGTGTGTATGTGTGTATATATATGCACATATATAAAAAAATAAGTAGAAATTAATATAAATATATAAACATATATATATAAATATAGAAGGGTATATAGCCATACTTATATTCTTATATATTTGTAAGTATATGTACTATATACTCCAGGAGTATATAGGAGAATGTCTATGTCTATATATAAAAATAAATCTAGAAATAAAAAAAAAAAAATTACTCCTAGAGTGTATAGGAGGGCATACAAATATATATTATATATATACTCCCACACAAAAATATGCATGTAATATATATACACACATATTTTTGTGTGTGGGTGTATATATACATATGCTAGGGCTGGTGGCACAGGGTCCCAGAGCCACTCATGGGAACCCCCAGAGCACTGGGTACAGCCTTCTCCTTCCTTCAGGAACTGGCATCCCACAGGAGCACAGTGCCCATCCTTGTTGCTCTGTGGGCTCCTTCATGCTCCCTGCACGGGAGCGGAGCTGGTGGGCAGAGGGTGGACACACAAGCAGGAGGTGATAGCCTGCAAAAGGCTTCTATTTATTGCCACTCATATGCTACCGGGGCCCTCCGGGGCCTTGAGGTTGCCGATGGCTGTAGTGATGAAAGGGAAATGATTACGATGGTGTTGCAGTGGCTGCACTTCTTTGGGGTCCTGGTCTGTGGCGTGATCTGCACAGCCTGGCAGCGGGGAGCCCTGTGCCAGCTGGATGTGGCTGCACAAGTGCCTCATCCATGTGGCCTGGGGACATCCCAGTGCCCCCAGCCTAGCCGTCCCTGGAATGTCCTGGGGAAGGCAGTCAGGGACCCCTGCATCCATTCTGGGGGGCAAAGACGGAAACAACCATTTCCCCATGTGTAATGTAACCACAAGGAGCCACTACAGGAAGTGTCAGCTGAATAGATATTTATATCCCTATACCCTGATGGAGTTACACAAGCCCCTCATAATCCCCCCACCCAGCACGAAATTCCCCCTAACACTGCTGTACCTCTTCGCAGTGAACACTGAGGGATAAATTTCCTATATAGCTTTGGGAGCCCTGAGCTGTCTCCTGCGTGTTTTGTTCTCATTGGAGTTTCCCTTCTGAGTTTATTTTTGGTAGGGCCTGAAATAGGAAATGAATTGTTGGCAGCGGGCTGGCTTTTATCACTGCTCGCCGGCCAAGCCAAAACAAACGTGCTGTTGTCCAACCCAAAGGCTCCTTCTTCGCTTTGGGAAATTGGGAGGAAATGGGAAGATCAGTGTTACAGTGTTGGTGGAGGAGGGGAGGGGCCACAAGAGTCCCTGCGCTCCTCTGATTCCATGGATGAGGTGCTGGTGGAGCGGAGGGCTGGTGGCTCCATCACAGCATCTCTCGCCAGCCTCACCCACTGCTTCTCCTCAGCCATGGCCACCACATTGTCACAAAACACCCTACCTGTCTATCAGGGAAGGTGGATCCTGCTCCATCTCGGGGGAGCAGAACACCTGGATTTCTCCATGTTATGACTGGGTTCAGCTGTTTTTTCTTGAAGTCAAAGTTTTCTGCATGTCCAAGAGAGCGGTGGAAAGCAGCTCAGAGCAGTAAGTGTGTTTAGCGTGTATAATCTTCCTGGTAAGCTCTCAGCTGCAGGGCAATGAATGGTTTTCAGCCTCTGCTGATTTGTGGACCCCTGAACAAAGCCCCCTCACCAGTGTCTGCCATGGGGAGCTGTCAGTCAGAGATAGCCAACATGTGGCAGTGGGAGGAAAGTCTGCAGGATGCTTGGAAAAAAGATTCACAGTCACATCATGAGGAGACATCATCCTTCATGATGCTGAGGTGTGGCAATGCCTCATCCATGTCCTTTGTGGTCCATGGCGTCACAGGACATTGCCTGAAGAAGATTCTAACCTATCTGAACTGGAAAGACTCTATTGAAAAGACCCTGGAGGCAACAGAGGACCTCAGGTTGAACATCAGCTTGTTGTTCCTCAGAATAAGGCAAACCCCACAGTGGGGGCTGCTGGGAAGGGCAAAGGCACATAAGTACACCTGAAGCAAGGGTCCAGTTGTGAGTCTCCTAGTTCAAGAGCGATGCGAAGAAACTGGAGAGGCCAGGACAAAGGATATCAACATGGTCATGGAGCTGGCAGGCATTGGGCCAGGAGAAGTGGAGTGGGCTGGGCTGGGCTGGGCTGGAGGAAGGGTTCCAAGAACAGCCAGTGACTAGGATCATAGAATCACAGAATCACAGAATATCCTGATTTGGAAGGGACCCACAGAGATCATCCAGTCCAACTCTTGGCCCTGCACAGGATACCCCAATGATCCCACACTGCCCCTGAGAGCATTGTCCAAATGCTTCTTGTGCTCTGGCAGCCTTGGTGATGTGCCCACTGCTGTGGGGAGCCTGGTCAGTGCCCGACTACCCTCTAGGGGAAGAACCTTTTCCTAATATCCAGCCTAAACCTCCCTTGAGAGAACTTCATGATGAAGTTGAACCCTTCTTGGTGGTGCCAGGGATATGATGGGGTAAAACCTCTACCAACTGAAGGTTCAGGTTGGACCCTTGAAGAAAATTCCTCCCTGGAAGAATGGCCCTGGGACAATCAAAGGGGGCTGGGGTATCCTCCACCCTTGGAGATTCCCAAGATTCAGTGAGACACTGCCACAGCTGTCCTGACGTGATGGTTGGGTTGGAGCCTCTGGTGACCTGCCAGGACACACATCAGTGTCTGTGATGTGGGATTTTTGAATTTATCCATAGGCTGCTCACTTGCAGGCCCTCCTCTGGCTGGCTGGGGCTGTGATCGGAGCCCATGGGCGGGCTCATGCCGGGATGATGCTCTGCTGTCCCAGGATAGCCTGGGGACTGGGGTGAGCTTACAGTGCCCCATTTCCTGAGGCACCAGCCCCAGCTTTGCTGCCTGCATGAGTGAGAAAGTGCCCCGAGAGGAGGCTGGGGCCATTCCCAAATTCACATTGCTGAGTCACCATCATGAGCATCATGGCTGGTTTCCCCCTGAATACTCTTCAGTGCTGACATGAAGAGATGTGTATAGGACCATGTGATGTCTGTGACAAACCCTTCTGCTTTAATCGTCTTCAATTTTTGCACTTTTATTGCCTGGATTCAACTCCTTTCCTTCTCTTTTCCTAATCTATGGATAGTTATTAAACTGAGTCTCCTGGAAGCCTCTTCAGTTTCTCCAACAGCCTCTATGGTGGAGGGATAGGGGCTTGGATGCCATCCCAGGTCTCATAGGTTCAGTGTCCCTATTTTTTGTTTCTGCACTCCTGTTCCAGGAGTAGTTTTAGCCATTGTCCTTCATCTTCCCAAGTAAAACCTGAAGGAAAAGGGAGGGAGAGTGAAGGAACTCTGAAAGGTGACCAGGAGTCTGGGAAGCAACACTGACAAGTCCTGTGATGTCATTTTTCAGCTTTGTGCTATAAGATGACGCTTCTCCAGCCAGTGTCAGACACTGCACTGGCTCCAGCTCCACAGTGCTGAGCAATGCCCAGCAGTGTGCTGGAGCCCCATCCCCTCTTGAGTGCCATGCTGGGCTGGTTGCAGTCCTGGTTCCAGGTGGTCTCATCCCATCCTAGTGTCCACCAGCTGCCTCCATCACCTCTGAGATTGCTGTGGTTGACCTTTTGGTCTGGTGGTCTTCTGGGCCATCATCCAGATGTGTCCAGTTCTGGGCCCCTCAGTTCAGGAAGGACATTGAGGTGCTGGAGCAGGTCCAGAGAAGAGCAACGAGGCTGGGGAAGGGACTCGAACACAAGTCCTATGAGGAGAGGCTGAGGGAGTTGGGGCTGTTCAGCCTGGAGAAGAGCAGGCTTAGGGGAGACCTCCTCACTCTCTACAACTCCCTGACAGGAGGTTGTAGCCAGGTGGGGGTTGGTCTCTTCTCCCAGGCAGCTATCAGTAAAACAAGAGGGTATGGTCTTAAGCACTGCCAGGGGAGGTTTAGGTTGGATATTAGGAAGAAATTCTTTACAGAGAGAGTGTTCAGCCTTTGGAATGGGCTGCCCAGGGAAGTGGTGGATTCTCTGTCCCTGGAGGTGTTTAAGGGGAGACTGGATGTGGCATCAGTGCCATGGGCTGGGAACCACGGCGGTGTTGGATCAATGGTTGGACTTGATGATCTCGGAGGTCCTTTCCAACCTGGCTGATTCTATGATTCTGTGATTCTATGATTCTATGATCCCCCACTGCGGGCAGAGCTCAGGATAGCTCAGTGGTGGACACCAATGCTCCCGGCTCTCATGGAAGCAGACAGCCCCAATTCTCATGGCAGGAAACATCCTTCTGCTCAGGAATCTTGGGCAGGTGCCATGTGGGAGAAGCCCCTGCTTCTCAGCTGCCTCTGGGCTTGTCCCAGCTTTCCCCATGGCAGCATCGTGTCTGGGGCTGTGTGGAGACCTCAAATGCTGCCAGGGTTGGCAGCCTCTGGGCAGGAGGTTAGAAAGCTGGGGTCAGAGCCTTGGACCCACTGCCACCCCCAGTATCCTCCCACATTTTTGTCCCAGCATCCTGAGCACCCAGCCAGGGCTGGGCTCTCTTTGCCCAGTGGCCAGAGCTCTCTTGAACCGCAGGTTCTTGACCCAGGCTACACTGGGGAGTGTCAGTCACCGGGAGTATGCTGGATACTGAGGGATGAGGGGCTCTTTGCCTTGCCCCCAGGGCTGGTCTCCTGATGCCAGGTGAGCACATAGCAGCAGCCTCAGCAGGGACCTTCGTTCCCCCCGTCTGCTGCTTGTTACCACCTGCCTGTACTTGCTGCAATGTCATCCATCTCCCCACTGTACACCACTTGGGACCAGGATAGCACTCAAGTAAAACTAGGCAATTCCCAGCACGTTGCCAGCCCCTGGGGAGCCTGGGCAGGGAGAGATGGCATCCAGCTATGGAAGAAATACACTTTTATTAGGAAAGCACTCTGCAGAGGTGCCAGGCTCTCTCGTACCAAACTAATCCCTCCAACTCTGCTGGATGGGATGCGGGAGCCCGAAGGGTGTCCAGCTCCGTCCATAAATAGCACTTCCTCCTGGACAGGAGCAGCCCCAGGGCAGAGGAAGGGTGGCATCAGTCGAAACCAGCTCGACCCCACGCCGGCACAGCGCATCTGCGGCAGGACCGGCAATGGAGAGCTGTGCCTGGAGCCCAGGGCACTGGGGCAGGGGGTCTGCTGCCAAGGATGGTTGTGGGCCATGCCTAGCACTGCCCTGGGCACTGAACAGCAGCTCAGTGAGAGGAGCTCTCCGGTGCTCTGCAAGCCCAACAGACCAGAGTGGGATGCAGGAAGCGAGCGGCTCCATTACTGCAGAATATACCATGGGCACGTCTAGTACAACAAGCGCTGCTTATGCGATCAATAATACTGCTACAAAATAGAGGGGGGATATGCCACGCACGGACTCCCCTGGGGTGGCGGCCGGGCCGGCTCCCTGTGGTCCTGCCTTGCGTGGGGAGGGAGGGCGAGTTGCCAGACCCAGGCAGGGAGCAGGAGCAGGGCATGGATGGAGGAACCAGGTCGCAGGGCAGGGGTGACTAAAGGAAAAAGGAGGATGAGTGGTGGAGGGGGATAAATGGAGGCTCAAGGCTCTTCCAGTGCCCCCTGCCCAGTCCAGGCTCCCCCATCCACTGGTTGTGCTGGCAATGTCCTTCTTTCCGGTGTGCGGCCAGGCAGTGTGGGACTGGTGCCTGACTCCTGGTCACTGTACTGCCTGGGCGGGCACAGAAGCTGCCCTGGATGGCTCCAGGCTGGCTTCTCGGCTCTTCTTCCTTGGAGGCTTCTTAATGGGGGTTTTCTTGGCTGCCTGCTCGCTGGGAAGAACCTGATCCTGGTTGCTGACAGCACTTGGCTTCTCCACCCACTTGGGCTCCCCGGCTGCTGGCTCGGCCACCCCAGGGATCAGTTTTTGCAGGTGGGGAGAGGTGGGCAGCAAGGGTTTGCTGGTCTTCTGGCCGCTGGCGGCTGCTGAACGCTTGGCTTTCTGTGGAGGCGTGGGCTTCTCCCGCTGGGTGCCCACCCCATTCACCCGGGTGCCTCCGTCCCCCTTGTTGAGGCTCTGAGTCTTTTCCTTCAGCTGGGCAGCCAGCTCGGAGGCTAGCTGGGGATGCAGTGGCTCAGAGCGGGGTTTGCTGGTGCTGGGGCTGCAAGGAGCATCCTTGGAGTCCCCGACCCGCCGCTCCGGCTGGAAGGTGCCCATCTTTCGGAAGGCATTCTGCACTGCCCCATTGATGCTCTCCATCGGCTCTGAGCTGGCTTTGCTCCTCTGCTTGGGCTTGGAGGGTGACTGGGGCTCCCCGGTGAGGTTGGCTTTGCCCTCCGGGACACCAGGCTCCTTCGGTTGCTTCTGCGCTTTCTCTTTGCCCCGCATGCTGCCCTTCTCCTCCACTCTGCCTTGCACACTGGCTGATGTCTCGCTCGGGCTCCTCTTCCTCTTGGCCAAGCCCAGTCCTTGCTCGGGGCTGCTGGAGTGGGCAGCTGCTCTGTCTGGGGATTGGCTGGGTGCTGGCAGTGAGTTGGACTGGCCAGAGTTGTACCTGCTGTGGATCCAGGAGACTTTGGGCTTAGTGGCTGGGTCTGGGGGACGGGGCTTGGTCCTTTCTGGGGATGGTGGCTTCCCGGGGCTGCGGGGCTCTGCAGTGGCATCTTCCTCCTCCCTGGACTGCTTGGAGAGGCGGGCGACCCGAGCATAGAGAGCGGCACCGGCCGAGCCAGAGCCGCAGGAGGAGCGCTCGCTGTCCGAAGACTTGAGCAGGGGTGTCTCACTGCTGTCGCCCGGGAAGGCTCTGACAGAGCCGGTCTCCTTCAAGAATGTGTATTCGCCTGCTTCCTCCCCACCGGTGGGGGCCACCAGCTTGTCCCCGGGGCTGGCAGGTGTCCCTCTGTCCCTGCTGTCACCCACGCTCTCTGTGGGAAGAGAGCACGGGGATGTCAGGTGGGATGTGCCTGACGAGGGAAAGGACCGAGATGCTCCTGCCGGACAGTGGGCTCCCCCTGGACTACCCTTGTTCCCACCTCCCAGCCAGGAACCTCCTGGCTCTTAACCCTAGAACAGCAAATGCCAGAGGAGGGAGCTTTGAAACTGCGTGGGAGGCAAGACTAACACCTGCATTCCTTCCTGGGGCACAAGAAACCAGGGTGACACGATCCCCACTGTGCAAGGGTGACACCTCTTCTTCGAGCAGGCCCCTGGTAATGTCCCCAAAGTCTCCTGGGGATGTACCCCCTGCTCACCTTCATGGGGGACGCAGTACACTGGCCCCTCGTCCGTGGTGTCGAAGGAGGAGAAGGAGCCGCGGGATGACCAGGATGGGGAAGGCTGGTCCACCACAGAGGGTGGCTCGATGAAGCTGCAGTTCAGGGTGTTTTCCAGGTCATGGTGGGCCACTGCAAGGGTAAGGAACTGCTGTCAGTGCCCATTCTGCCAAATCCCCCAGTACCCCCCTCCCAGCCAGGAGGGTGGGATGCTGCACACCCTTGCCCACCTTCCTGGTGGTACTGGGGACAGGGACAGCATCCAAGGCACAGGCACAGCTCTCACTGCACCTCCCCACCAGGTCTTCCAGCCAAGTGCCCACAGAAGCCATCAACCTGCAGTGGTGGTGACCAGCATCCCCCATGCCTAGGCCATGGGCAGCAGAGACTGTTCAAGCCTCACACCTCCATCTATCCCCCTCTCCATGGATGGTCTCCACTGTCCAGACTGAGGATGTACATGGCAGAGGGATGAGCCACCCAAAACCCTGAGTCCCACAGGACACAGTGAGTGGCCTGGTGGTCACCCATGAGCTGTGCAACCTGGCAAAGCCACCTCACAAAGAGAGTCCTAGCACTGTGGCTGTCCCCTTCTCAGGGGAAGAAATTAGTTGCCAGCTTTAATTCCACTAATTCCTACTTCAGCATCACTGACTGCATTTTCCTTTTCCATCTGCTTCTACACAAGGATGCAGAAGGATAATAAAAGGATGCCTGCAGCAGGAGATGCACATCACTGTTTTTTCCCGAATTCTGCAACTTTTTGATCCCTTTGCCAGCTTCTCCCATTCTGAAGCTGAGTAGGAACAATTACCCCCTGCCGAGGGGCCACCTGCAGAGAAGCCGAGTGGAAGAGACAAACCACCAGAAAAAAAACTTGTTGTTTAAAAAATGAAATAAGGAAGCTCAGCAGTTAGTTGTCTGGGCTGGAGGGATGGTTTTTTTTCAGCTTCATAATTTTTGAGGCTTTTTGCTGGATAAGTTCATGTTCCAACACACCCTGCAGGGCTTCCCCAGAAGCTCACAGCTTCAGCATTGCCCTTGGGTACCCACAGGACTGTGGCAGCAACCAGCTGGGAGGAAGGACCCTCCCAGAGAGCCAGGCAGCATCAGATGCACTTGTCCCAATCCCTATAACGCTGGCTTTTGTCCCTTGGGACAGTGATGAGTTGCCTCCAAGGCCAGGCAGGGCCTTACTTTGGAGCAAGGGCTGCAAAAGTGTGGTCCTAGAGGGTAGTTGGGCACTGGAACAGACTCTCCAGGGCAGTGGTCACAGCCCTGAGGCTGCCAGAGCTAAAGAAGCTTTTGGACAATACTCTCAGCATATGGTGGGATTGTTGGGGTTGTCCTGTGCAGGGCCAGGAGCTGTACTCAATAATCCTTGCCAACCGAGAACATTCCATGATTCTATGAAAACCCTGTGCACAGACAGGATCCCAGCTGTGTATGGATATTTCCAGGTATTTGTAAGCTCTGCCTGCACATTCCAACTGCATCCCAATCCCAATTGTACCCCAGTCATGCTGCAATTTCCTGCTCAGACTGTTTGATTCTTGCACCATATCCTTGTTTTACAATAAAATTTAGTGTTATTGGGATGCCCACTGGAATGCTTATCCATTATCAGGGAATCTGGCTTCAGACATGCAGGGCTGTTAATATGATGGCAGTGCTGCACGTTTGTCCCTGCATAGTTTGGCTTCTTGGATTAAGGTAAAAAAAACCCTAGCAGAGATATTTAAAGAGCAAACAACCCAGAGAAGGGGAAGCAGCAGTTCCAAAATGTCTTTCCTTATAATAAAAACCAAAAAGAGAAAATTAAAAGCAGCCGGCTAGAAGAAGATGAAGGGAGATGCTTCCTGAGAGGAGGCGTGACAAGTGACTGGGACTTACAGCCACGAGGCATCTCTGGGACTCCAGTGAGACCCAGGATACAGCCAAAGGATGAAATGAGGATATGCAGTTCACCCAGAGATTTTGGGAAGTCTGGGGTCCCCAGGGATTTATTTCCCCTGGGCAAAATATCATGGGCTGGTGGGGCAGGGAGAAATGTGGATGCCTCCTGCATATTCTCTCCTGCCACTGCTCCCTGAAATCTTCTGGAGCCACAGCACCAGGGTGCCAACCCAAACTTTGCTTGCACGGTGGCCAACTGGTTTCTAGACCAGGATGGAGCAGCAAGGAGCTGCAGAAGGACCATGAGAGGGGGATTCCAGAGCCCTCCTGGCCACCCTCTCTCAGTCAGCCCAAGCTCCTCATGATCGGCATCACCCTCAGGGCTGGTTGATCTTTGCTGCTTGGAGAGGAGATGAGGTGGTGGGCTGCAGAGCTTGGGTTAGCCTCAGCATCTGTGGGGTGACATGGGACTGAGACCCACGCTGGTACCACTGACACTCCAATGAGCAAATCCCACACACAGGGATGCCTAAACCCTGGCACCACGGCTGCTTGCATCAGCCCAGGATGTGGCCCTGCAGGCTGCCAGCTCAGGTGTAATCCCTAGGGAGATGTTGTGGATCCAAAGCTGGTGCCAAGGTTGGGAGCAGCTTTTGAGGGAGAAACCTGGGGTGCCAGGCACCTGATGAGCATCAGTGGGGCTTCAAGACCTGCTGTCTCACCTGGGAGGGTTCTACCACGTGTAGACTTGTGCTCACTGGTGTTTGAGCCCAGATGGGAAAACCCACCTGGTTCCAGTAAACATATGGCCCAGAATGTAAACAGATCCAGAGTGACCATCGACTGGGCATCAGCCAGCACCAGTTTCACTGCAACATAGCCATGGGGTCCTGAGCACCTCCAGCACTGACCTGGCACTTGCAATGGGGCACTTCAGCATACCCTGGACCCTCTTGTTGGGGCAGGACCAGTGTGGGGAACAAGTGGCCTCTGTCACCAGATACTGCCTGGGGCGGCTTCCAGGTGGGGCCACATGCTGATGTGGCAGCATGGTTACCAGGCATCAGGAATGCAGCTGCCACAGGCAATTCAACAGGTCCTCGTCACCCAGGGAGTCCCCAGACCCAACAGGGTCTGGAGGCATTACCAGACCATGCACCAGTGGGACTGGGAGCTGCTGGAACCCACAAGGGCTCTGCTGTGATGGATAACACAAGGCAAGCCCTGACCAAAGCCTTTCCCTCCAGTGAAATAACAACCCTCAGCCCCATAACAGACTCCAGGAACAGCCCCAGTCCTGCCAGGACCTGAGACCATCCTGAGCATCCTTAGTCTTTCCCGAGGCCGCTGCTGCCCTCTGTACACAGACTGGCTGGACAGGTGCCAGCTGCCCATGGGCCGGTACAGGGAAGGCACAGGCAGCCCCCTGTGAGCCCCCCCTGCCCTTGCCGCACACAGGCACCTTCTGTCCTCCCTGAGCCCTTCCCGGCCCCTTCCACAAACACAGCCTCTATGATCCTCTGTTATCCTTGCAGCAGGAATGTTTCTTGGGCCCCAACACACCCTGCTCCAGGCAGAGCTTTGCTGTGCCCCACGTGGTAAGGGCTCAGCTTTGGTGCTGAAGCTCAAGCACGTTGTGCAGGGATGGGGGTCACCTCTGTGTCCCATCTGGGATAGGGAATTTGGCCTCATGCTGAGCCACTATGCACTAGGATGTGACTGCTTGGGGCATTCCACCAGCATGGCATGCCCACAAAATTCTGGGCTCAGGAAAGGAGGCTGGGGCTGAACCCCATCCAGCACAAGGTGGGGAGTGCTGCCTTCACCCTAAGTTTATTCAGTGGGTTGCAGCATATCCCCAGCTCCTCATGCTGCAGAGGTGCAAGGAGGGTGACAGCGGACAGCATCCCCCAGCTGCCTGGATGCAGGGAGTCCCCAACAGCCCTGACAGCACCAGGTCAGGGGCTTTGCCAGGTGTGAGCAGTCCCCTGCAAGCCCACTCTGTGCCCGGGCAGTGTGGGGAGCTCAACCCAAGTCTCTGCCCCTCCACCCACAACTTTGCTGCACACAGCAGCAGGGGGGGGATCCCTCTTGGGTGCTCTGGCTCCAGACAAAGCTGGGACAGGGTTAGCTCAGGACCAGGAGGGTAAAAGAGGCATTTTGCTGAGTGACAGGGACCATTCCTCTCCACAGAAACCTCAGGAGAGTAAACCCAAAATCTGAAACTTCTAAGCAGAGCTCCAGCACCAGGTACCACCCTTGCCTCACAAAGCAAAATTATGTGCTTGGAGATCCAGAGGCTGCAGTCAGAAAGGGTTGAGCCCCTGTTAGCCAGGAGGCTTGCACCAACCATGGTAACTCTCCTGAGGACACACGTCCCTGTCACCACTATGCCATGCTCACCACCCTGGTTTGGAGCTCAAAAGGAGCCACGCGCACTGCCCTGACAGGAATAAAGCCCCTGGAGCCTGACTGGCTCTCTGCACCCTCCCCAGCTCCAGCATCTTACCCACAACCTTGGGTAGCTTCTGGCGGCGCAGAGGGATGCGGGGGAGCTTCATCCCGATACGACTGAACCGCCCGCACAAGCGTCTCGGCGGCTTCTTGGCTGCTGCTGGGTCCTGGCTGGAGCTGTAAGAGAAGGTAATGGCACTGTCAGAGAGACACCGTTCCCCTCCCTGCGGTGGGGACAGACTTCATGGGTGACAGGGACAGCCTTCATAGGTAACAGAGAGAGGCAGGAGCTCAGGGATGCTGCAAACGCAAAGAGGGTTTTGGAACAATAATAGGGTGGATCAAAGCAGGGGCATGCCCAGGGCGCAGGGAGTTGGGGATCCACCCAGGCTGCTGCCAGCCCTGGGCACCAGCTTGCACTGCACCAGGAAGCAGAGTAGTGCCAGGGGACGGTGGCAAGACCAGAACCAGCCATGGCCATTGGCAGTGCAGCCCCAAAATACCCACAACACCCGGTCAAGACTCTGAATCTTTAAAAAAAATTAAAATCATCCCAATCCAAAGCCAAACACGTGGCTTCTCTTTATTTGCTCTCTGGTTTGGAAGCCTCCTGGGGTTGAGTTTTCAAGCAATTTTCTGCAGCCGCAGAAGTGAGTGGCTTCGCACGTGGATGGAAGGGAACCTGTGCCATGCCCACTGCTGCTGTGATCCCTCGGGACGCTCTGGCAAGGGACTGCACTGGGACAGCACCACAGGTCACACAGGGGTTTGGGGACACTGTGGTCCGGACACCCTGGGAGAGACGAAACTGGAGCCATTCCCCTTCTCCCGGTGCTATACCTCAGCCCACAGGGCTGCCTTTGTGCTTTATCTGCAGGATAATTTCCTGCAGCCCCCAGGCTCTCCAAGCCAGCTGTGCTGGGCTGGGATTGAGCTGGCAGGGCTGCAAGGGGAGGCTTCTGGAAAATTCCTGTGCAGTGGCTGGTGGCACGAGGGGGTTTTCTCTGCAGCCGGAGGAGCTCCAACTGTCCTCTCGTCCCTTGCTGAGCAGCAGAAGCATTTCTCCTTGCTGTGGGTCTGTCCCTATGCCTGTCCTCATGGCGGGATGTTACCTGGTGATGCCAAAATGCTGCCAACATCCTGACCTTGCTTCAGGAACTCACTCTCCCAGCCCTGATCATCCTCATGCAGAACAGTCAGCATCCTCCCTGTTCCCTAGGTCTCATTCCATGGCCCAGGGGTTTGTTCTGGGGGTCTTGACCACGTCTTAATGCCCTTGTTGTATTTCAGGATTCCCTTTGCAGATCAGTTCCAACCCCCTGGAGACTGGAGGAGACTTGGTGGGTCTCCATAAAGTGTTGGCCCACAAGACGGAAACAAAGTCAGGGAGAGCAGGAAGGGGCTCCCCAGGCAGGGCTCATCCCGAGCCCCTCTATCAGCCCCAATGACGCAGCAGGACCTGCTCAGACCCCAGGGACCAGCACAGTGCCACATGGGCAGCACTGCTCTGTCTCAGTTTCCCCACAGCACCACTGTCCCAGCATGGTCCCTGCATTCCCCTGTCAATCCCAGACCCCACTGGTCCCCCACATTCCCAGCCTGGTGAGATCCCTCCCAGTACTCACCTGCAGGCTTCGTCCTTCTTGCGGCAGACACAGCAGCAGCAGAGCAGAGAGAGCAGGAGGATGAGCAGCAGCGCCAGGAGGGCCCCTGCCCCGATCACCCCCATCCTCTGGTTGGCCTCTGCAAGGCAGACCCGTGGCTCAGCCTGGTGCCAGCCCTGTGGCAGTGGCAGCCCTCGCTTGTGCCCTCCAGCACTCACCCATGTGACAGGCGCCTGTCAGTGGGTCGCAGGCGCCGTCGTGGCAGCTGCAGGCTTCGGCACAGTTGGCTCCATAGCGTCCAGCAGGGCAAGTCAGGTTACAGCTGGAGGGAAGGGGCTGGATGAGAATGGTGCATCGGGCACAGCAATGTGAGGTTGCTTGGCTGCTACCTTCTCCCAAGCCCTCCATACTTCAAGGAGCACTTCTCTAGCTTGCTCTGACAACTCAACCACACCCTGAGGGACCCTGTAACCTACAGGGATCCGTAGCCCATCGCCCAACCAGCAGTTTCGCCCATTACTCTGGGGATTTGGCCCAGCTGGATCTCTGACAGTGTCACTGCTCCCCTTCACCCATTTACCATTCCCCTTCACCATTCCCCTTCACCATTACCATTAGACATGGTAATTAGGAAAGGTCATTAACCCAGCAGTCACATCTAAAGACACCCTGGTGTCAGGCACAGGGATTCCAGCTCAGCTCAGCAGTGATGTGGCTGCGCACCCCAAGGCCCATCTCTGCCAAGCTGCACAGAGCTGCAGTGGCCACGAGCTGGGAAGATCCCCTGATTGATTTTTTTTTTTTTTTTGTCTCCAAGAAGGAAAAAATCCAGAGGAGCCCCAAGGCATCCACTCCATCAGAGTAGGCCCCTCCCATTCAGCTCTGCCTGGTGTCAAATCTCCACCACTGGTAAAATGACCTCCATGGTGGAGTCACCAAGGCGATGGGGACATGCATGAATGGGCACCAATCCATGAGCATCAAGGACTTGAGCATGGAAAGCATGCACCAGGCACATGCAAAAGCACCTGGGCCTCTCAGGAGCGGGACCAATCCAACCCGTCTCCCCAGCTGTGGGCCAGGCACTGCAGAGCCTGACTCAGATAGATTTGGAGATGGCAGCAGCACTGCTGGACACCCAATCCTCCACCAGCTGTATCCTGGCTGCAGCAGCCGCAGCTGTAAGGAGCCAGTGGGCCCCAGCCCAAACCTGCTCCTCCAGAGACGCAGCTGCCCCCTGTCCCTGGCACGGTGCCTGTAGGCGGCTCAGCCCATTTCACACTCCAACGACTTGCAAAGCACCGCCTAGGCCAAGCTTTGTGCCCATCATGTGCCCACAGTGTGCCTGCCATGTGCCCACCATGTGCCCACCGTGTGCCTGCCATGTGCCCGCCAGAATGGGTGCTGAGCCCCCATGTCCATTCCAATGGCTGTGCCGGGAAGCAAATGCAACAGAACAGGAGCAGGGATATTCCCTCAGCAACATAAAACCCTTCACCCCACCACTTGGCCCCACATTTCTGCCCCAGGCTGAGGTTTTGGGAGAGCAGAGGGGGGTGATTTTTTTCCAGGAGGGTCCTGACAACTCTGAGAAAGACAGGGAAAAGATAAAGCACTTTGTGCACACTTTAGCAGCTGTTCCTTTAGTATCCTCCCGACATAGAGCTGAGAGGATACCCCTTCATGGCAAGGACATTGCTTCTGCCTTCCTTCCAGAAATCCCATTTTTAGTAAAATTATACGCTGCTGACAAAAACACTAGTTTGCACATAGTGACAGGGATCTGCCTGAGCGCTGGGAATGTCCCTGAGCCCGCCTGGCGTGCACCACGTGACACAGCTCAGCTCGCGGTTATGGCACCGGGACGTTGCTGGGGCTGGGCTGCATCCTGAGCATCTTCCATCCCCACAGTCCTGGTGCTGTGCTGGGCTCAGAACAGTTTAATCTCAGGTCTTTTCCAACCTAGTTGATTCCATGATTCTGTAATCCATGCTCTGTCCTCTGGCACTGTGCCAAAAGCATCACTGCACTCCCCTGCTGAGCACTGGGATCCTCTCACCTCTGCCTTCACTACCAAAGTTGGCCATGATGCCCAGGCTGGGCATCCTGAGCTGGTGCCTGTGCCAGTGGCTCTTTCAGCACTGTGAGTGGTTGGTGAAGCCCCACAAAAATAAACCCCAAAACGCAAATGCTCCCCGTTTCTATGCCCTGAATGAAATGCCAGCATGGGCAGGATGCCAGCTCCAAATCCCTGTCCTTGCCATCACCCTTGCGGTTAATTGCTGGGAAATCCTGAGCACCACCCGGCAGGACCTGGAGGAACTGTCTGCATGTCCCAGATGGGTGGGAAACTCTTTTCTCTTGTTTTCAAACAACATTTCAGTCCCATGCTGTGAAAACCCACCCAGGGATATGAGCAGGCCCTTGCACCCCTTTCCTGGGCAGGGAGAAGGAGAAAGCCTGGGTAAAACCCTGGTCAGAGGCAGAGCTTGCAGCAGGACCCCCCGCGGACGCCATGCCTGCGAGGCTGTTCGTTATTCTGGGATGTGGTTTCTTCTCTCTTTTTGGATAGAAATTCCACCCTGGACTTAAAAAAACCAACAAACCACCATTTTGTCAATTTTTTTTTGCCAAATAGGCATTTTCTAAAGCACAATCCCTCTCGCAGCATGACCTTGCCGCTAACGGTTCTGTGAGCATGTCCTTCCCTCTGCTCCCCACATCATCCGAATTATCACCTGCGAGCGCTTCTACAGTAGGAAACCCCTCAGCTGAGAACCACGTAGGACCCAATGGGGCAGGAGGTGCCTGAGCATCACCTCCAAAAGTGTGCTTACTGTGCCTCACTTACTAGGTGCCGTGGGAACCAGGGTGGCAGAGGCACCGCCCGGTCTCAAAGTGGCACTGGCCATTGACGCAGTCACTGCAGATGAAGGCACAGTTGTCCCCGTATGTCCCGTTCCAGCACTTGGTTTCACACCTGTGGAAGGATGAGGGCAGATGACTGGAGCATCCATAGCACTTGGGGACCTCTGGCATCCCCCTACATGCAGGGAGATCAGGCTGTCACTGTGGTGGCTTGGGGTTTCTGAAGCCAGGAAAGGGGTACAGGAATGGACTGAGCTCTCTGACACAGCCATGGGACTGGAGGGAGCCTGCAAGACCCGTGCCCTATGCCCAGGTAATGCCTTGCGCTTGCAGTGAGGCTTAGCTCTCAAGCTGGGATGCTTTCCTGCAGACTCTTGCACCCAGGATTGGTTCCAGGGCTGCAGAACCCCACAGCAACCCTGTTCCCTGCGCAGGGAGAATCAGGGAAGCCAAGCATCACTCTGCCAAGATCTGGCTGCACTTACCGGTCTCCGATCCAGCCTGGGTTGCAGTGGGAGCACTTGCCATTGATGTGGTTGCAGGTGTGGCCGTCCTTGCAGGGGGGACAGAGCTTCTCACAGCCCTCTCCATAGAAGCCAGGCGAGCAGGGTTGGTCACACTTGGTGCCATTCCAGCCTGCCTCACAGGTCAGGCAGCGCCCGTCTGCCACGGTGCACGGCTGCAGGCTCTTGCACTGCCCACACCTGCAATGGCCAAGGGGGAAACCATCACTCAGTGCAGCCCCAAAATCTCCTGCTGCTGCATCCCACCAGTGCCGGATCAGACCCAGCAGAGTCTGCCCACTCACCGTCTCCGGCAGCCTTGGCCGTAGAAGCCGGCTGGGCACGGCTCGCGGCAGTACTTGCCCCGGTAGCCTGGCTCGCAGGTGCAGGTCCCATCCACCTGGTTGCACTTGCCCTTGTAGCATTGGCAGTAGCGGTCACAGCGGGGCCCAAACGTCCGCTCTCGGCACTGGCAGCGCCCCGTGAACTGCTCGCAGGGCGAGTTGTTGCAGGAGCACTGGTTGTTGCAGCCGCGGCCCCACCAGCCGGGCTGGCACAGACAGTTGCCTGTCTGCTGGTCGCACTGAGAGTTGTGGCTGCAATAGCAGGAGCTGGAGCACTGCGGGCCCCACCAGTTGGGCTCGCAGGTGCATTTGCCTGTCTTCTGGTCGCACTTGCCATGCTTGCAGAGGCAGATGTTTTCGCACTTGGGACCCCAGCGGTTGAGGTTGCAGGTGCACTGACCTGTCACGTCCTCGCACTGCCCGTTGGGGTGGCAGCTGCACATCTCTTTGCAGTCGGGACCCCAGAACTGCCGCGGACACTCTGCAGGGAGATCCATCAGCCCCAGACTACCCAGGGGGACAACCCCACCACTGGAGGGACCCACAGTCCCAATAGGACCTTTTGACCACCATCCTCCCTCTCTTCCCTGCAGCACACTGGATTTCAGAGGAGACCCAGCAAAAGGACAATGCCCAGGGGACAGGCAAGGGCAGAGCAAAAGCATTCAAAGCCCGATCCCCGATGCTCTGCTCTGGAATGTCACCCCAGGATAAGCTGGGGCCAGTGAAGCCTGCTGAGGACAGGAGGGCTCCTGCCAGTACTCACTGGTGTCGCAGTTGGCGCCGAAGTAGCCGTGGCGGCAACGGCACTCGCTGGGCCTGACGCACACCTCATTCTCCTTGCAGGTAAAGTTCCCCTCGCACACGGCTGGATGCACAAACAGACGGCAGACATAAGTGTGAGTGCCTGCTCCCCTGAGCACTGCCTGCTCATACCTGCTCCCCCAAGCCCTCCCAAAGCTCCCCAGAGCAGGGGAAGGGCTGTGCAGTAGCCCTCTGAGTGCTGCTGAGCTGTGGCACTATCACCATCCTAGCAACCACAGTGGCTGGATGGGATCCCCGCCAGGAAAATGCCACCAGCCTCCTGTCACCCAGCTCAGCTCCAACTCTGACACCCAGATCAACTCCATCCTGGCCACCAGCCTCCTGCTACCCAGCCAAGCCTCGTCCATGCCAGCAGCTGCACCCAGCGGGGCACTGTCCCTTGCTCAGCTCCGCCTTGACAGAGGGGAGATGGGGGCATGAGATAGAGGGGTTGTGGGCAGCCATGAGCATGGTTCCCTTCCTTGCACTCCTTATGGACCACAGTAGTGCCACTCCCACCCCACCACTGCCTCTCCTGCACGGCCACCAGCCCCCAAAGGCCACCCACCCCTCTCCTGCTGAGGGGAACTTGTGCTGAGGCCGATGATTGGAGCCAGGCAGGCACATTATGTTGGACAGGCAGCATGGACAGGCAGCACTGCAGTGCAGGCAGGTGCTTGCAGATCCCACATGACCCTGGACAAGTTTCCTTAGGCATCGGGAGAGACAACCACCCACCCCAACCACCTTACCTGGGAGTTGTTAGACCTACGGTGATGGATACTATAGAAACCCCTAAAATAGACAGATTACACAGATTAGGAGCAGTGAGTCTAACAGTTAGAGCAGGTTGGGGGGCAGGAGATGGGGACAGCTCACTGTGGGACCGTCCTCCCCACACTGTCCTGGCAGATACTGTCCTTCTCCCTTCCAAAGGGGATGCATCCCATTCCCAAAGCATGCAGCGAGCGGTTACAGGGCTCATGCACAGTGGGTTAGTTGGTTACATGGGCTTTGCTACCAGCTGCAAACTGCCACCTGTGGCTCTCCTGGGCTGTGGTGAGCCCCATGGCCAGCCAAGACTGCAGGGAACCCTAAACAGCCACCTTCACTGTGGTGGCAGTGCAGGGGATGATGCTCCCAGGGTTTCATGTTGAGCATCCATGCTGGGCTCACTGTGGCCCCAGTAAAAAGCTGTGACACCTTGTATGGCCCCAACCCAGGCTAGGTGGTCCCTGCCTGCCCCAGCAGCCTCTCCCCATTGGGGCCACGATATGTATGTGTCTGGTCTGGGCAGCTTCTTCTCCACCAGAGGCTCTGGCTCAGCTCCCCATGCTGCTGCAGCACCCATGGGGAATCTCAGTCCCATCCCTGCACCTGCACCTTTACCCCAGGGGACACCTCGTTGTCCCTTGGGTCCCTGTGCAGCAGCCCCAAATCCTTAGACCCAGAGCTGGCTGTCAAGGAGAGAAACCCCCACAGCTCTGTGACCCCCAGGTCTGGAGCTGAGCACCCTTTCCATACACATGATGCTGGAGCACTGCAGAGAGGCAGGACCCCAGCTGCAGTCCCCAGGACAGGAGGTCCCAGCCACAGGACACATCAGAGTGGCCCCTGACAGTGGTGGTGAGGCCAGGAGGGCTCAGCAAATGATGGGCAGTGTCCAACAAAGCAAAATGGCAGTGTTTACCTATTAAACACTCGCTTCCTTGTTGCCTCCATCCTAGGCAGCACACAAGCACCGAGGAGCTGCAGGGGAGAAAAAAAGCATCACAAATAGTTACAACCCTCAGAAAGTCCTGGTCCTTCCCAAGAACCCACCAGGAGCACTGAAACCATGATGGTGAGAGGTCCTGCCAGGGGTTGCTGCATTCCCATGGGGCAGAGAGAGCTCTTGGCTCTTCCTCCAGCACTCAGGGAGTTATGGGCCTGCTGGGGGCCTCCCATGAGTGCTGTTTGAGATGTCCCACCAACCACTGAGGTGACTAGAGGAGCAAGGATGAGACCACTTCCTGCCATTAATGAGTGATGAAACAGCAAAAGTCATGTTTGCAACCTCTACAGTAAAAAAAATAAATAATCCAAAGAACCCTCCCCAAAGCTGGGAAAAAAGGGAAGACTCTAAATGTCCCAGGGGAAAACATGATCTGAACCCCAGGTTTGCTGCTTGGTGGCCTAGGGTTGGCACCCCAAAGGCAGGCTGGAACCACCTGGCCAGAATAGCTGGAGCACAGTCAGCTCCCAGGAGATGTGCCCATGTACGAGCAGGGGGATGCCAACTACAGGCAACTGGAATGTGTCCCTGATCCCCTGTGCGTCCTGCAGTGCCACCACCTCTAGGGAGCACCAGGCACAGGGTTATCAGGCAAGATATGTTTGGCACAAGCTTGATCAGGATGGGGGCTCAGATCCCCTCAGAGGCTCAGCCAGGGATGCTCAGCTCCCTGCCTGGATGGGACACGCAGGGACGCCTCACCCGCACTTGGTCAATGCCTCCTCCAAGCAAATGTTCGGGGGCTCATGATGCTGCAAGTGAATGTGGGAAGTACATTCCCTGTGCCACGACCTCACAGAAATCCCTGTTTGGGGACCCTTGCTCCTCCCCAGAGCCACCCACTTGTCCTCAGGGTGACCCACGCTGCCTGCTCCCACGGGTGATGGGAGTGATGCTGGAGGGTCACAAACAGTCAAAGCAGTTGCTGCAGTCAAAGAAAACTTCACCCAGGCTGGTCTGCAGCACAGCCTGGAATGCATTTGGCTTTTTTTTTTCCTTTTCCTCTTTATACGTAACAAATGCAGAAGAGGAGGAGACAGCAAGGAAGTATTTGCTCGAAACCCAGCGCAGTCACAGGACCACGTCTGGCTGCCAGACCGCCTCGTCCTGGGGCCGAGGAGGGAGCTGCCAGCAGCCCCTTGGCCAAACTGGGGTGCTGGGGATGCAGCTCCCACCCCTGGCCCCTCGGCGGGCAGCACCCATGCGGCCGAGCCAGAAGCATCGTGTCCCCCTTTTCGTGGACAGTGAAAAGTTGGAAAGGAGGCAGAAAAGAACCACAAAAATGATTCGAGGCCTGGAAAAAATGCCTTGCAGCCAGAGCTCAAAATAGCTCCATCTATGCAGCCTGTGGAAGCAGTCGCAAGATGCTGCGATGGCAGCGGCACGTACACCCCCCATCATGGAGACCCCGGGGCTTGAGCGCAGGGCTCTGATCCTGCCAAACATGCAGGGGGATGCATGGGGTTAACGGCAAGGGGGGGTCAACCACCAAATCACCTCCCTGAGGACTGGGTGGGCTGGAGTCAAGGTTCTTCTCTGCAAGAGGCTTCAGGCTGCTCTTCCTGAAAACCTTTGTCAGCTGTGCTGGGATGCTCAGGTGGGGAAGGGTCCACAGTGCCTCTGCCCTCCCATGGCATGGCCAGAGCCCCCACTGTTCCACTTGGAGTTGCTTTCACCACTCCACTCTTTATAAATTCAGTTTGGTGGGGTTTCAGATGAAACCGTTGCAGGTTTGCAAGAGGAAACCCCTCTGCTTGGGAAACCTCTCTCCAATGGCTCAGCCTGGCCACCAAAATGGGCATTGTGGGGGATGCGCCAAAATGCATCATTCTTGATGAAAGCCCCAAGCTGACAGCGGGGAGCTGGGAGTCACTGTAACGCAGTGGCAGGAGGAAAAACTCTTCTGCCACGAGCTGGAGGAGGCGAGCAGCACCTCTACCACCACCAGCTGGGATCCAGCCCACCACCTCTTATCTTTTGGGCTTATCTTTTTCCTGATAGCTAATCTCTCTTTGCCTGTGCCTGCTAATGGCAACCCACACCCTGCTCAGCCCGTGCCTCGTTTATTAGCAGCTTTGACAGCAATCAACCTCTCCTGTGGCAAGAATGCATCACTGGGAAACCAGTGCTCCCAGTATGGTACCAGGACTGGTCCCTGAGCACAGCCAGCCACAGGGAGGGGCAGTATTGGCTGCAGGTGACCAGTGCCATTAGCATGTTGGACTAAAAGATGTTTCATGGCCTCAGCTCCTTAACAGAGCTCCACCTGCCCCATGATCACTGGAAAAGGATAATTAGGAGATGTGTTTAAACGCTTGCTCCTGACCCACATGGACATGCCACTGAAGACATCCAGTGCAAATACATATCCTATTTCTTTCTCTTTCCTTCAAAGTGCTACAAATGCTGGGAAAAGAAAAAGGAAAAATTGCCTCCAAACTGTGGCTGGGGCTGGGGAGCTCAGCTGATGTGGAGGAAGAGGAGCAGGATGTGGGCAGACACGAAGCTGTCACCTGCAGGGATGAGCACTCCACGCCAGCCTTGGCCCCAGCCCTTGGCCACATCCTGCTCATGCTGAGCATCAGTGGGACCTCAGCAAAGGATCTTGGGGTTTCCACAGAGGCAGAATATTTGTCTTGTGGATAGTATCCTACATCATTCCCTGTAACACGTCCTCTCTACCAACAGCTATAGAGAGGGCTCCTGAGGCAGGAGGGATGGCTCCTCACCCAGACCAACATAGCCCTCCCTGAACAATGAGGAGCAGGCTCACACCCCTGAAAGCAGGAGCAAGACCCTGGGGCTTGGGTGGGAGCTGCTGCCCATGGTCCCACGTGAGACCTCCCTGCTCGGCCCACTGGATGGAGCTGCAGAGGAGCCCTGTGGACACCCAGCATATCCCTGGCACTCAGAGCATCACTGGCACCTTCCCCATCCCCAGAGCTCCTCCATCCCTGCCTCGCTGCTTCTCCCAAGCATCACCCCAGTGCTAATCTCCTTTCTTTGTGTTACCCATCACTTGGTGCCACCCAGCTTCCACTGTGTGGGACACAGGACTCTTGGTACCAGCAGGTCCCAGCCAGTGGCACACCCCCAGCTGATGCCAGCTGCAGCTCCCTGACCCCAGCTTTGGAGTGCAGGCAGACAGAGATCCCCAGGGCAGGCAGGAGTAGGACCATGTACATAAACAGAAACCATATGGACAGAGAAAGAAAATAAAAGTAAGTAAACCCCCAAGATTATCAAATGAGAGCATTAGCAAGAGAGCAGGACAGGGACAAAGCAGTGCCCAGGCTGTCACCAGCCTGCATCCCCACCAGCACCTTTGGAGAGGGTCATGCCAATGGGCAACCAATCATAAGAGAAGTTCAAATTTAGCAACAAGTTGCATTTAGAACACAAAACCCCAAAGAGCCCCAAATATGTCCTTTTCTTCTGCCCTAAATAGCTTCTTGAATTGCTACTTGCAAGCCAGATCTCAGGAAGTCACATAATCCTCCCCTTGAGCTCTCCAAAACCTGTGGTGGCATCTCCACAGGATGCCTGGATGGGCTTTGCAGAGCCTAGAGTCCAAACAGCAGCTTCACCAGGCTCAGGTGGGGGACACTGGGACCCCAGGCCACCTCCTCCAGCCCCTCTGCCCCCAGCCCCAGACACAGGGCAGGACCTGTAGCACCAGGGCGTTGGGGCCAACAGGACAGGTTTGGATGGTGACATATGGAGTGTCCTCCATGCCCATTGTACACGGTCATGATGGTGGTGGGTGCCAGGCAGGCGGGTGGAGAGAGAAGAAGGGTTTGCGGAAGGGTGAGGGGTGAAAAGTGATGCAAACATCATCTGAGCTTCCTAGAGACCATCCCAGTCCAACTATCCCCAGCTCCCAGGCTGTCTTCACGTCCTGTCCCCACAGGAGGATGGACACCACTCCCTGCCCATCCCATGGATCCTGTCCCACTCAACAGCCAGTGCCTCTTGCACACCCCACGTGTGGCACAGAGAGCGAGTCCAAGCCCTGCAGGGCTGGTGCAGCATCTTCCCAAGCTTCATCCAGTGTGGATGGGGGGGGGTCCCTGTGCAAGGGGAAGCACCCAGGCACCCCATCCCCAGAATGTGGTGGCAGTTTTGCTGTGCAGGTCACAGGCAGCAGAGGAGGGACAGCTCCCTGCATCCTCCCCTGTTGTGGAACAGCATGGACAAGAGCTGTGGCTGCTCTGGCTCGTGAAATGCCTCCTTAGGAAACTCAGGCTGTAATTTGAGGAGGGGGCACCAGCGCCCTGCGGGCCTGCTGAATGGAGCCATTATGCGGCCCCTCTCACTCACAGCACATGTTTTCCTTGTGGACTCGTCTGACCTCATGGGCAAGATATAAAGGTGCATTTATGGCCTGGGCCCCCCATCAGGGGCAGGGGATCCAGCTCTCCCAGGAGGAGGCAGTAGTTGTGGGCACTCTCCCCCTTTGCTGTGGTCAGCCTGGCCCAGGAGCCTGGGCAGCACCATGCCTGAGCTCTGTGGAGAAGCTCGGCTGAGGTGATGCTCTGCAAAGCACCCTGTGGGACACAGAGAGCACTGGGAGTGGGGACACAGTGCCACCTCCCAGGACTCTGCCCCTGGCCAGGCAGGCAGGATGTGACCCCTGGGACAGCTAGACAGTGTCAGCACCCACTTTCTGAAGCCAAACCCAAGGGTCCTGAAGCTGCCAACTCCACCATCATCAGCAGCCCAGTACAGCTCCACCATGATACCCAGAGCATCCTGCATCCCACCAGTCCAGGCTCAGTAGCATGACCGGCCCCCGGGGGGTGCAGGACCGACCCCCCACAGTGCAACCCGATCCCTGAAGGCACCCAGGACCAGCTTCCCACCACAGATTCTGCCCCAGGGATGTAGGATTTCCCCCCCACCCCTACCTTTCCCCTTAGTCCATCCCCAGAGACACCAAACACCAGCTCCCCACAGCAGAACTGGCCCTGGAGTATACAGAACCGGCTCCAAAGGAATTCAGGACCGGCTCTCCTCAACACGACCGGTCCCGGTGGAGTGCGGGACCGGAGCCAGGGCATTCGAGACCGCCTCCCCGCAGCACCCCGGGGATCAGAAACATCCCCCGCCCCGGCCCCACTCAGGCTGTGCTTCTCACCCCCGCCCCGCCGCCGGCTCCCCCCGCCTCAGCCCCGCACAGGACGGACTTTGTCTTGGAAGGCGCCCAGCGCGGCGGCTGCCTGGGATGGGGGATGGACCGGCGAGCTCGTCCCGTGTCCTGTTCCGCGGCCCCGACCCCGCACCGCGGTGGGGGTCCGGTCCCGTCCCGCCCCGCACACCCCGCACACCTGCCCGCCCCCGCTCCTACCCGCCGGCCCTGCAGACGTTCCTGCCGCGGGGGCTCAGCTCCTGCGCGGCTCCGCGGCTCAGCGCCGGCAGCACCAGCAGCACCAGCAGCGGCAGAAGCGCGGCCCCGGCCCGGGGGCGGCGGGGCGGCCGCAGCGCACGGGCCTCCATCACCGGCGGAGCGGCGGGGCCCAGCCGGACCCGGCACAGCCCATACGGGGCCGGTCGCTGTCCCCCTGCCCCGGCTCCGCCGCTCCCGGTCCCCGCCCGCCCCGGTCCCCGCCGGTCCCGGCTGCCGCTCGGCGGGCGGAAGCCGCGGTGCGATCGCTTCGCCGCCGCCTCCCCCGCGCCCCTCTCGGCAGCGGCGGGAGGGGCCCCGCCGCCAGCCAGGAAATTCCGCATTGGTTCCCCTGACGGCGGGCCAGGCTCCGGGGGCCGCCGCCGCCGCCCCGGCCCCGGGCAGCGCCGCCCCGACGGCCCCGGGGAAGCTCCACCGGGTGGGCAGCGCCGCCGAACGGGGGGAGGGTCCCCGAGGGAGAATGGGAGGATGAGAAGTCCTGGCTTCCAGCGCAGCCCGGGGGTCCAGCAGCTCCCGGGAGTCCAGGGAGTCCAGTGTCCCCGGGGTTTGGAGGGGACCGAGATCCGGTAGCACCGGGGATCGGCTGTCACGATGGTTTGGAAGCTCCAGGTCCCCGGGAGGCCCCGGGAGACTGATGGCCCCGGGGTCTGGCTGTTCTGGGACCCAGCAGCTCCAGGGGTCTGACAGCCCTGGGTGTCCAAGAGCCCCGGGTTTTGATTGTCCCAGAGGTCTGGCAGTTCCAGGTGCCTGGGAGTCCCTGGGGTCTGGCAGCCCCAGGTTCTGGCTATATCTGGGATCTGCAGCCTTAGATGCACAACAGCCCTGGGATCTGTCTGACTTGGAGTTCCAGCAGCTCCAGGGGTCCCACAGACCTGAGTGCCCAAGGGCCCACGGGTCAGTCTGTCTTGGTGGTCCAGCAGCCCTCAGAAGCCTGAAAGCCCCATTATCCATCTGACCCAGGAATCCAGCAACTCCAGGTGCTTGACAGCCCCAGGATCTGGCTGTCCCAGAGGTCTGGTAGCCCCAGGTGTGTGACAGTCCCAGTGTCCAGCTGTCCTGCAGGTCTAGCTGCAGTGATCTGGCATCTCCATGTGTCTGGCAGCCTGGACTAGACTGTTGGGAGCCATGCAGGAACCCATGGTAGCCAAGTGGTGCCAAGGAAGCATGACCCTGCACAGGAACACAAGGGCTTCAGAGCAGCCACTGGTTAACCCACCGTAAGGACACAGCTGGGAATTGGGGGGACACCTGGGCACCTGCAGTGGTCCCACACCTCTGGCCTGGTAGGGCAGCCCGGTCAATAATCTGCTTCAGCTTGACAGTAGCACTGAATGGGCTGGCATTTCCTTGGCCACCACCCTGAGCCAGCTGCCTGTTCAGCTCAGTGGTCACTGCAAGCGATGCCCCAAGCTTCTCTGAGCTCCTCGGACATCTGATAGTGGTATGGGGAAAGTGTGGATGAGGACACCCTGGCCATCTCCCCTATGGTGGCACAAATGCAGCTGAATAGCTACATCCATCTCTTGTGAAGTGCTGGCTGCTTGCAAACTAAGAACTGTGGAAGGTGTACGGACAGTGCATCTCCCATGGAGCTGGCTCTGAGGGTCACATACCTCTGGAGCTCTCCTGTGGATGTGGAGCCTCCGTCCCAGCAGGCATGAGTTGGGCAGCACCATTTTGGAGAGGATTAGGGAGTTCTGGGTGGTGTCCTGAGTACCTTCCCAGCCCAGGGATCCCCGCATCGAGCAGAGAGTAAGTGCATTTGGTGGGTTCTCACAACCTTCGGTGTTTGCAGTACTGATGTGCAGGGAAGGCTTCTCTCCTGCTGAGACAGGTGACTCTCAGTGGAAAAGTCTCTAGTGGTCTTACCAGTGGGAATATAACCATTGTGTAGCACTCCCTTTCCCACTCCTTTTTCCCCTCTGTAGCCCTGGCATGTTCCATGTGTTTGGCAGCAGCACCAGGAAGCAGCATACCTTGCCCATCTCCTCCTGCCTCCATATCCCTGTCCCTCTTGTCCCATCCTGCTCACAGGAGCAGGAATGTGAAGACCATGGAGGCACAAATTGCTCCCTTAGGATGACTCAGCCTCAGGCTGAGCTCACCACATCCCTTTCTGTCAGGGAAAGTGGGATGGGGAGGGGTCAACTCCAAAATTAGGCAGGAATCTGGGCTTGGTGGTGGTATTCCCATGCCTCCTCTGGCAGTTGTGCCCACCCAGAGCTTTTAGTCCTGCTCTGGCTCTTTCCATCCTAGGATCCCCTCCCCATAGTGCTGAGCAGCCCTGATGCTCCACTGCCCCGGTCATGATGGGGCAGGACAGCCTCACGCTGCCTCACCTTCCCCATGCCGGTGCTTTGTGTGAGGATGTGTTTGCTTTTGGATGGTTTCTGGCTTCTATAAACTTAACTTCTCTTCCTCTTCACCAGCAGACAACATACTCCATCTGCTCTGTTTTCACCAGTCTAACTCACAGAAGGGGTTGGGCCATAGCCAGGGAGATAAACTGGTCCCTCAAAAGATGCTGCCAACTAGTGTAAGAGGCTGGAGAAGCTGAGGATGCTGTGGGACAGAGGCGGAGGGAGGTTTTACAGTGCTCTGGGCTGGCTGGTGCTGCCAGGGCCTGGGGGATTGCACAGCCCACAGTTACCAGCCACCCATCCCTCCTCTCCCTGTGATCCTGGCAAGGCTGCTGCCCATGCAGAGCATGGCCCATGCTTTCGATCACACACCACTTGCATTTCCTGTTTCAGACTCTGCCAGGTGTCTGTCTCCCGTGGAACTGTTTTTGGAAAAATACCACAGAAAAAAGGAACCCCAGAACTATAGTATTTCTGAACACAAAACTCAGGGAAAAGATGCTGTTTTGTCAATGCTTCAAAAATCCCTGTGGCTGCTTTGGTGGGCAGGACTGCATGGAGGGGCATGGGGTGTCATAGGATACCCTGATGTGGCCAGGCTGCCCAGATGGTTGCTGCAAGTATATGGGCTCTTTCTCCTTCCAACTCCCCCACTGCTGCAGCTAGCATCCTTGCACACAGGAATGCTGCAACATGGCTCCTGGCACATGCACCACCATTCCATGCCTCCTCTTCCTCCAGGACAAGCAGAAAGCACTGTTCAGCAGCAAGAGCTAAAACTGAGCAGGGTGGGGAAAGCCTGGAACACGAGGTGGGGGTTGGTTGTGTCAGTGCACCCAGAAATAGAAGAGGCAGTTACTGTTTTCTGGCTGAGCATGGGTACAGCTGTGCCAGGGAAGGTTTAGGCTGGATATCAAGGAAAAGGTTCTTCCCCCAGAAGGTGGGTGGGCACCGGAACAGCCTCTGCAGGGCAGTGGTCATGGCCCAAAGGCTGCCAGAGCTCAAGGAGTGTTCGGACAACGCTCTCAGGCACATGGTGGGATTGTTGGGTTGTCTTGTGCAGGGCCAGGAGTTGGACTCGATGATCCCTGTGGGTCCCTTCCAGCTTAGGGTATTCCATGCAAGGTTGCAGGGAAACAGGGATTTTGAGGTTTCAAGGACATTCAGTACCTTGGGTGTTCAGGAGGCAGCACTCTGCACCCATACACAGCCTCTGCAAACAGCAGCACATAACACCTCCGAGCCGGGTTGTGGAGTCATCTTATCATGGGAAGGGGGTTAACTACAAAAAAGCAGGGTCAAGAGGGGCTCCTCCTGCCATACTACACAGATGCCTGGGGGTCTTTGCATAAGGTCATAATGGATTACTTCTGCATCCAGAATCCAGCAGAGCTCAGGCTCTGGGGCACCGGTGTGCTGCATGCCACTGCAGCAGCATCCTGCAAGGGCTGGAGAGGCAGCCCAGTGTCTGGAGCATCTCCCCTCTTCCCTGAAACACAAGGAGCCCAGCTGCTGCCTGCATCAGTACCGTTTTTAAATTCCAGCAGCCCTGGCCCTGTGCTCCAGCAATGCTCCCTGCTCTGCTCCAGTTGTTTTTTAAGGCAGGAGAGTCGCAGCTAGAGAAAAGGCAGAAGGTGAACAGCTCTGGAAATCTAAACATCATCCCTCTGAGGGACTGATCCAGGGAAAAAGGAGACAGTGCCACAGCTTTAGGCAGGGAATCCCAGATATGCCTGTGGTCACGCAGAGCCCAGGAATAACTGGAGCTATGTTGAGGTGTGAAAGCCTGCAGGGTGCACATCCCCCAAAAGCAGGTCTCAGGGCAGGGAGAGGCTCTCCCATGCCACACCCTCCTCTGCAGGTAGGAGGAGGCTCCAGGGCTTCCACCTCCTCTGAAGCCCATCACAGGCAGCTCCACAGCTTCTCCCATCCCTAGCCCAGGAAGTTTGGCCTCAGTCTGTACAGCCCACCTCTGGCTCCTTTCCCCAAGCCCTGGCTCTGGCCAAAGTGTGCAGCTGGAGGGCCAAGAGCAGCACCGACCCCTCTCTGAGATCAGGGCAGTGCCTGGGGACAGGTGGCTACCCAATAACTCCAAGGGAGAGACAGGAGCAGGAACAGTTGTGATTTAATCATCTCCATTCTCTGCAAATCCAGTGTACAGCAGAGCTGAGCTGTGGTCCAGCTCTGGGTGCTCCCACTGTCCCTGGTCCATCACTGAAGCCAGGGACTGTGGGCAGGGCAGGAAGGGCAGAGGGATGGGGCCAGCCCGCTCCCCTGGCCCCTCCTGCTCCACTGGACGTGTGCCTGAGGATGGATAACCCCAGGAGGCTTTGGCTCAGCTTATCCTGGGGGATGGGGGAGAGCCTGGACCTGCCCAGCTCTGATCAGTGCAAAGCTGCTGAGCAGGCAAGGAGTGGCTGTCCTGGGACAGGCAGCAGGGACCGATCCAGCCCTTACACAAGTGTGGAAGGGACAAAGCCCCAGCCCCAGCAGAGGCTGGAGGAGCTTCTGGCTTGTCTCCAGCTTGTGCCCAGGTCACCCAGCCCACCTGTACCTGAGCCCATGGCATGAAGCAGACAGATAAATCTCTGCGCAATCCCGCCAGGGGAAAACTCCGGGACAGTGTTCACCAAGGCATGGGGCAGGGCTGGCAGGAGAGCCCCAGCATTGCCCCCTGGGACAGCTCAAGAGGCTGTGGGATGGCAGAGGGACATCCCTGGGGCAGTGCTGGATGGGGCAACCCTGCAGCAGCGACTGCCGGAAGGTGTGCGTGGTTCAGCAGCAAACAAGGACACTTCTGTCAAAGGGCAAAGGGTGCTCGGGGGAGCTTGCAGCAGAATTGGGATGGGGAATGGTGACAGTGGTTCCGGCTGAAGGCACAGGAGCCCCAGGGTTGGGGTCAGTGGCTGAAGAGGTTTCCTGCGAGGAGGCGCCTTTTGACCTCTTTCCAGAGCAGGTCCCGCTCCCGGTTTGCCCGCTGCATGAAGCCCCTGTTCTCCTGGGCCCTGCGGGACAGGTAGGGCAGCACCTCGTTCACTGGGCCGTAGGGCACGTACTTGTACACGGGGAAGCCAGCCTGGCCTAGAGGGATAGAGGCTGGTCAGGGAAGTGCCAAGAAAGCAAAAAAAAAAAAAAATGTGAAAAAAAGGAAAAAGAAAAAAAGAAAAAAAAAGAAGAAGAAAGGGAAAAAAGATGAAAGGGAAGAGGAAGAAAAAGGAGGAAAGGGGAATAAAGGGGGCAAAGGCTACAAAAAGGGAATAAAGGGGGCAAGAGGGGGAAAGGGGGGTGAGGGAGAAACAGGGGGAAAAAAGGGAGGGAGGGGGAAAGAGAAATGGGGGGAAGAAAAAGGGGGAGGAGAAAAAGAAAGGGGGGGAGAAAAAAAAAGCCACCCTCCCTTTCCTGCCAGCTCTCCCACGCCCCTGGGGCTGTGCCAACGGAGCAGGGATGGATGTGCAGGAGTCTGCGGTTGGGCTCTAAGATGGGGATCCTGGAAGCGGCTGAGCCTGTGAGGGGAGCTGCAGCGCATCTCTCCCGGCTCAGCACCGGGAGCTTGGGAAGAAGCCAGGGGGAGCGGGCCAAGGTCACCAGGAGCCATGGGAATGTCGGCAGCCGGGGCTGGGCCAGCTCAAGGAGCGTTCAACCAGAAACATCAAGTTAACACATTTTTCCAGCATGACCAGAGGAGGCTGCAGACGGGCGGCCAAACCCCGCTTCCGAGGGAACTCCAGGACAGAGCAGTGTCTGTGCTGGACAACTGCCCAGTTTGCCTCCTGCTGCTCTCCTGGCCTTAGGACTCTGCTCTGGACTAGTGTGGGCAGGGGGATCAGTCCCTGACCTGACAGCTGGACCCTTGTGTGTCCCTCTGTCCAGGTCCCTGGAAGTGCTGCTCTGCTGCCTGGGCCAGTGGCTGAGGACAAGGCCATGCAAGAGGCTGGTGCCGCCCTGGTAGCAGAGAGTCCAGGACTCAATGTGCACCTCCAATGGAGCCAAGTGACACCCCCAGACTGAGGAGGTATAGAAGGGGCATGCTGTCTGCCAGGATCAGTCTCTGCCCCACTTTAGGGCACTACAATTTCCACTTAGATCCAAAGTGGGAATCTCCCTGCCCAGCCACCATGGGCTCATGGGACTCCAGCAGAAAGATGTGATTCTCCACCTACATCCTCACCTACATCTTTCCAAACCTCATGCAGGGGTCACAACACTCCCCACAGCAAGGCACTGCGCTCAGCCAGTCCTGCTCTGTGACAGGTCTGGCTCACTCGCTCCTTCCTTTGGACGCCACAGCAGCTGCTCAGGGAGACACCAGGGGTCCAGAT